CTTGAATAATGCAGATCTTGTTTTATTACTCTTTGCTTTACAGATACTGCTTCTTTTTTTCTTTTTTTTTTTTTTTTACAAATTGAGGGTTTGTGGCAACCCTGCATCGAGCAAGTCTGTTAGCACCATTTTTCCAACAGCATTTGCTCACTTTGTGTCTATTTGGTGTCTCACCACATTTTGGTAATTCTCATAATTCACACTTTTTCATCATTTGTTGTGGTGATTTGTGATCATTGATTATGATTCACTGAAAACTCAGATGATGGTTACCAGTTTTTAGCAATAAAATATATTTTTTGTTTTTTTATTAAGGTATCACTGATATACACTCCTACGAAGGTTTCACATGAAAAACAATGTGGTTACTGCATTCACCCATATTATCGAGCCCTTTCCCCCATACCCACTGCAGTCACTGTCCATCAGTGTAGTAAGATGCCACAGAGTCACTCACTACTTGTCCTCTCTGGGCTACACTCTTCTCCCCATGATCACCCCCATCCCCCATACCCCTCAATCCCCTTCTCCCTCCCTCCCCACCTGCTCTCCCCCACCACTCCCCTTTGGTAACTGCTAGTCCCTGAGAGTCTGTGAGTCCACCGCAGTTTTGCTCCTTCAGTTTTGCTTCGTTGTTTTACTCCACAAATGAGGGAAACCATTTTGGTATTTGTCTTTCTCTGCCTGACTTATTTCACTGAGCATAACACCCTCTAGCTCCATCCATGTTGTTGCAAATGGTAGGATTTGTTTCTTTCTTATGGCTAAGTGGAACTCCATTGTGTATATGTACCACATCTTCTTTATCCATCCATCTACTGATGGACACTTAGATTGCTTCTATATCTTGGCTATTGTAAATAGTGCAGCAATAAACTTAGGGGTGCATATGTCCTTTTGAATCTGAGGAGAACTTGTATTCTTTGGATAAATTTCTAGAAGTGGAATTCCTGGGTCAAACAGTATTTCTATATTTAGTTTTTTGAGGAACCTCCATATTGCTTTCCACAATGGTTGAACTAGCTTACATTCCCACCAGCAGTGTAGGAGGGTCCCCCTTTCTCTGCTTCCTCTTCAGCATTTGTTGTTTGTAGCCTCTTCGATGCTGGCCATCCTAACTGGTGTGAGGTGTTACCTCATTGTGGTTTTTATTTGCATTTCCCTGATAATTAGCGATGTGGAGCATCTTTTAATGTGCCTATTGGCCATCTGAATTTCTTCTTTGGAGAAGCGTCTGTTCATATCCTCCACCCATTTTTTAATCAGGCTATTTGCTTTTTGGGTGTTGAGGCATGTGAGTTCTTTATGTATTTTGGATGTTAACCCCTTGTCAGATATGTCATTTACAAATATATTCTCCCATACTGTAGGATACCTTTTTGTTCTGCTGATGGTGTCCTTTGCTGTACAGAAGCTTTTTAGTTTGATTTGTCCCATGTGTTCATTTTTGCTTTTGTTTCCCTTGCCCTAGGAGATGCGTTCAGGAAAAAGTTGCTCATGTTTATTTACATTCAGGAGATTTTTGCCTATGTTTTCTTCTAAGAGTTTTATGGTTTCATGACTTATATTCAGGTCTTTGATCCATTTCGAGTTTACTTTTGTGTATGGGGTAAGACAATAGTCCAGAGTTATTCTCTTCCATGTAGCTGTCCAGTTTTGCCAACACCAGTTGTTGAAGAGGCTGCCATTTCCCCATTGTATGTCCATAGCTCCTTTATCGTATATTAATTGACCATATATGCTTGGGTTAATATCTGGACTCTCTAGTCTGTTCCATATGGGTCTGTTTTTATGCCAGTACCAAATTGTCTTGATTATTGTGGTTTTGTAGTAGAGCTTGAAGTCAGGGAGCATAATCCCCCCAGCTTTATTTTTCCTTCTCAGGATTGCTTTGGCTATTTGGGGTAGAAATAAAATATTTTTTCATTAAGGTATGTACATTTGTTTTTTTTAGACATAGTGCTGTCGCACACTTAATAGGCTACAATGTAGTGTAAATACAGCATTTATATGTGCTGGGAAACCAAAACATTCATTTGACTTGTTACTGTGACATTTGCTTTATTGTGGTGGTGTGGAACTGATCTCTCCAAGGTATGCCTATCTTGTCTTCATACTGTAACGTAACAGATCACCACACGTTTGGTGGCTTAAAACAACGTAAGGTTAATGTCTTAGAGTTTTAGAAGTGCGAAGTCTGAAATGACTCTCACTGGGCTAAAATTGTCAGCAGTGCTGGGTTCCTTCTGGAGGTGCTGGGGAAAATACATTTTCTTGATTTTCCAATTTGTAGCAGCTGCCTGCACTCATTGGCTCACAGCCACCCGATTCCATCTTCAAAACCAGCAATGACTGGTCAAGGCTTTCCTATGCAGCATCTTTCTGACACTCACTTTCCTCCTTGTTCCTTTCATTTATAAGGACCCCTATGATATGTTGGGTCCAGCTGACCAATCCAGGGTAATCTTGCCATCTTAAATTTCTTACATCTGCAAAGGCTCTGTGGCTATGTAAGGTAATAACATATGCAAATATTCTAGAAATTGGGATGTGGACATTTTTTGCAATGGACCATTTTTACACCTACTACGTTGAGGTAGGAGAAATAAAGATTTAGAAACATTTATGTTGTCTTTTATCTTTACTTATGTAATTATTCTTACTGGTGCTCTTGTGCATGTGCATTGGACTTACTGTCTAATGTCTCCTATTTCAGCCTAAAGGACTTCTTTTATATTCTTGTAGGGCCAGCTTGGTTGTAATAAATCTCTGTGCATGTTTAATTAGGAATATCCTAATTTTGTCTTCAGTTTTGCAGGGTGGTTTTGCTGGCTATGGAATTCTCAGTCTTTTTCTTTCACCACTTTGAATATGTTGTCCCACTGCTTTCTGGCCTCCTAAGTTACCAGTGAGAAAATTGGTTGAGCATCCTGTATGTAGTGAGGTCCTTCTCTCTTGCTGCTCTTAACATTGTCTTTAACAGTTTGATTATGGTGTGTCTAGTTGCTGATCACTTTGATTTTATTCTGTTTGGGAGTTTGTGGAGTTTCTTGGATGTGCAGATTGTTTTTCACTAAACTTGGGAAGTTTTGGGCTATTATTTCTTGAAATATTCTCCCTGCCCCTTTCTTTTTCTCCTTTTCTTCTCTCCTTCTGAGACTCCCATTGTGCATTTTTTGGTGTGCTTAATTGTTTTAGTTAGGATACTTTCCAACTCAAGAATTTCAGTCTGGTTCCTTTTAATAATTTTTGTTTCTTTATAGATACTCTGTGTGGTAAGAAGTCATTCTCATACATTCTTTACTTCTTTAGAGATGGCTTCCTTAGTTCAGACATATTTAAAACAGCTGATTTAGTGTCTTTGTCTAGTTTGTCCAACATTTGGGCTTCCTCAGGGTCAGTTTTTGTTGTTTTTTCCCCCTGTGTATGAACCATATGTCTGTGTGTCTCATAATTCTTCCTTGTAAACTGGACATTTTAAATACAATAATATGTCACCTTTGGAACTCAAATTCTCCTCCCTCCCCTGTATTTTATTTATTGTTATTATTTATTTGGTTAGTAGCTTTTTAGAACTAGTTTTTTAAAGTCTGTATTCTTTGCTGTGTGTGTTCACTCAAGACTAGATCAGTTAATTTAGTTGTGAGCTAATGATTAGACAGAGATTTCTTTAGATGCCTGGAACCAGAAAGTCTCACCATATGTTTTTTGTTTGTTTGTTTTATTTTTTATTTTGGTATCATTAATCTACAATTACATGAGGAACATTATATTTACTAGACTCCCCCCTTCACCAAGTCCCCCCCACATACCCCATTAGTCACTGTCCATCAGCATAGTAAGATGCTGTAAAATCACTACTTGTCTTCTCTGCACTGCACAGCCCTCCCTGTTCACCATCTGTTTTGAAAGGTTCTCTGTGCGTGTGTTGGAGCTGGCCTTCAACACTGCCACAGACATTCACAACTCTGACTTAGCCTTCACTTACTGCTTCACAGAGCTCAGGGTCAGCTAGCAGTGAAAGCCTAAGGCTTGCTTAGGCCTTTCTTCTGTACGCAGCTGCCCTGGGCATTTGTGTGACTTCTACATTCCCAGGAATCTCTTGGAGTTTTTCAGGTCTCCCTATGACATCTCATTCCTCAGCTTTTCTAAAAAAAAATTTTTTTATTAATCTATTGTTTGCCCCAATTCTTCTCCCCTTCCTCAGACAGTTGAGATATGCGACAATTGACCTGATTGCTTTCAACAAACACCCCAAGGTTTTGCACTGGAAGAGCTTTGAGACAGGTTAAATAAAGACAGCCTCCCAAGTGGGGTCTACCAGGCCATCACTAGACAGATCAAATAATGACAATTTATTTGAAATCGGACTCTCTTGGAATCAGATTATTTTCATGATCTGTGGGCTGTGGGTTTACATGACCACTTTAGAACTGCGGGTTGGGGGTGGGGGAATTGGAATAGGGAAGGTCAGAACACCACAAGCCTCTCTCTTTTTACCAAGATTTGTAAATGCTGCCCAGATCGCTGCAAGCCTTTGGTTAATTCCAGAGTTCTAAAAATGCTGATGCTGACAGTTTCTCTTTTGTGGAAGAGAGAAGTTTTACAGTTCCTACTGCTGCTGTTTATGTCTTTCCTTCTGCCCCTAAACATAACCTTTTCCACTTAATCTTTCTATATGCCATTGCCTTGTAGGGATTTGAGTTTCATTAGATTATATCAAGGTTTTTGACTTCAGAAATTCTGTGTGATTTTTCTAACTTGGGTAGCCAGGAGCCTGAAAAATACTGAGTTAAATTTAATATAAAATAATAGTGGTCTTTAGCACATTCTGAGTAATTTGAGTATCTGGGAAAAAATAAAGCACCTCTACACCCCAGCTTCTCATTAGTATTGATGTTATATACTTCTCATTAGTATTGTTTATACTGACTTTTTTCTTTTGGTTGCTGCCTCTTCTGTTTCTTCTTATTAACATGTTTATCTTTTTACTTGCTAAGGCAGTAAAGAATGCTGATGGGACAACCGTTTCCCTGATTTTCATATTGTTGAGCTGCTTACCATGATGGGTGAGTTCAAACTAAAAGCATTTTTCCTTTGTATTTAAAGGATAAAATGGAGAAAATTTTTTCTCTTTGATTATAAGTAACATTTTTATAAAGAAATTTTACTATGTAGGTTTATGTGATTTTTAAAATATTTATTTACTTAACAGATTTTCAGTTAATGCACTTTTTGTTAGCTGTTACAGTTTTGGAATGCCCATTTTATGCAGGACATTGTAGGGACATTAAAAGTAAACAGATGGAGAAGGGAGCCAAGATGGCGGCATGAGTAGAACACTGGGAATCTCCTCCCAAAAACATATATTTTTGAAAATACAACAAATACAACAATCCCTAAAAGAGAGACCAGAAGATACAGGACAACAGCCAGACACATCCACACCCGCCAGAACCCAGTGCCTCGCGAAAGGGCTAAGATACAAGCCTCGGCCCGGCAGGACCCGAGTGCCCCTCACCCCAGCTACCGGTGGGAGGAGAGGAGTCGGAGAGGGAAGGGAGAGGGAGGCCAGGACTGCTAAATAGCCAACCCTAGCCATCCACACCCAGGGCGCAGACACACAGTGTGAGGAGTGTGGGGAACTAGCGAAACGGGACAGTAAAACCTGCGAGCGGGTCCCTGCAGCTGGCGCCCCTGGGACAAAGAAAAGCGAGTGCTTTTTGAAAGTCTTAAAGGGACAGGGACCCCACAACTGGACAGAAGCGTCCCAGGACACTTAGCCCGGCAGCTCGGAATCCCGGGGAAGTCCAGGCACCTTAACCCCCTGGGCAGCAGCGCAGCTCTGAGACCCCTCATGGCGATAAACAGCCCCCCGCCCGTTTCCCCTCCTGTGTGGCCCCTGCCATAGCAGAGTAGCAGCCTGCGGCTGGCCA